AGCATTGACGTGGCACACTGTGCACGCATGGTTGATATAACTCTTCAGGATGTTGCGTACATATACATATAACTGCATTCAACTGAACCTGAGAACTTGTCCCAGATGCCAAATTTTATTCAGGCACATTTCAAAGCACGACTGGGCAGCTTTCGATCTGCAATTGACATTTTAGAATAGTGGTTTTCTTGGAGCTGAAATTTCTTGAGGCTTGTGTTCAAGCACACTTCTTTAGATTTGTTGTTATTTTGTTGCCTCAAAGGAACAATGCTCACATGACAAATGATGGACTGTACCTTTAGGCTGCAGCGTATAGCTCTTCATTCTTCTGGAACTTTCTTTAATCCTGCAGCATGATGTCTGTTGGATTTTCAGTGTGAGGAGAGTTAGGTTGGAACTTTTTTTCCCCCCTCCAATTACATGGAACATCAAGGTGTTAAAAAGTAATTCTTTCTTTAAAACAAAAGAATTTTTGTCTCCAAAATCTTGATGTAAAAACCCGATTTTAAGTCCTGAATCCTCCAATTTGAGTAGAATTGCACACACACCCTTGGGGTAAGGGTTAAGGCCAGGCGGTACGTCACACCCCTAACTCTCATCCCTTCCATTTAAGCCTCCTGATTCACTCCACTCCGACTCCAAACCACAACCACAAGAATCGGCAAGCATGAATCCCCCATGCCAAGGGGTTGGAGGGAGTGCGGTTGGCTGCGTTGAGCCCCTTTAAGTTTATTTGGCTATCTGGAGAGGCGTGCGTAAGAGCACAGTCAGGTCTTTGAATTAACTACATCAGGCTTAGTCATACACTCACGTGGCCTTTGCATACGCCTGCTTACACACTCGCCATCGATTTGGACCTTCTAGGGTTCCACTGCTGCATGTGATCTGAGATCTCCAATTTAGCATTTGAGGACCTTAATAGACCCAAAGTTTCCACAAACCCTGAGCGTTTCACATTCTCCAGATGCCGCACCTGGTTATTTCCTTAAATTTTAAGGATCCTGTTCAGTATTGCATTGCCGATTGGCCGGACTCCTTCGCTTTGCACAATGCTTGATGACCCAGTTTTAAGGCACAAAATAGCATTGTGTAGTCAGTGATGTACATGTACAGTGTACATGTTCTGCATGCTATAGGGTTTTAAGGATTGTGGAAGGCTCTGTGCGTAGAATTATGGAGGTTTATGGGTCAAGGCCTTGAAAGCTGTGAGTACTAAGGTGGAGATGTGGTGGAGAGATACCGATGTACCATCCATGTCTGTGTAAGATGGATGTGAAACTGTGGCTTTGTCCAAATTACTTGGCTGCGGCTTGAAATTACCAGTGAAATTACAGACTTCTGGTAGTAGCCACAGCCAATTCCCAGAGGGCCATGTGTAATGACAAGTTTCAGGTTTGGTGGAAGATGGTCTAAGGTTGCTGTGTAGACTGCTACCCTGTGTGCACATGCATGGTGGTTGTCAGTGGCAGGAGTGCTAGTGTGCTCACGGCGTTAAGTCTTAGAACCATGCTGGATCTGGTATCATTGGAGATTAGAACTTCAAGTGTACATTGTACAGTGTATGAATGTTCAGAAATGGTTTCTCTTGTTCATTCAGAAATTGGTAGAAATTGCAGTCTGGTACAGAGCTCATCAATGTCCCAGTTGTATCATGAATTGCCAAACAAGCTCCCCTTAAATCTGAATATGTAGGACGCTTGCAGCCGTGCCAACAATTCATTCATTCACCCACATCTTGCTCGTCAGTCATCGGACCAGTTTACCTGATTCGCTCCCGACCGCAAACATGCACATGGATGAATCGCTCATTCTGTCACTGTTCATCTTTCCTGTTACAATACGATAAAGATCCTCATCCATGTACTCTGTACTTGATGGGGCTTGTGGTAATCCTCGCACGTCTCACCGAGGTTTCTCATTTCTCAGATAGTTATCAGGTCTTTCATGTCTTGACAGTAATTCAACATCGTCGAGGGACCCTGCAGACACCCTCACAGTCAGCAACCCAGGGTTCACGAACTTCCATATGAACTTCAGAACTTACACAACAAGCGCATGTACCGGTACATGTACAGTGTACGTGACCTCATGTACTATATATGAGGTCACATACATTGTAACGTGACCTCATGTACAATATATGAGGTCACGTACAATGTACGTGACCTCACGTGACCTGATACATTGTACGTGTACATTCACCGGTACTTTTCTGGCGCAGCAGTGCCTGGGTCCAACTCCAGAGGCTAGTGTGTCATATGCATTATATCGCACATAATCCCAATACAATTTGAGCCGTTTTTTTTCTGAATATTTATTGAATCCCAGGGGGACATGTTGGTACCGAGCCGATACTGGTCTTTTCAAATCTGCTGTGGAGAGATGAAGTTCTTGAAAGCAGTTTATAAGTCTGAGGGCTCACTGCACGGCCCATTTCTGTGTGAATGTATGGTCTTGGCGTGCTCTGGGCACTTGCTCGAGCTTGGTTGAAAAACTTGCCTCTGCCCTGTCTTTTCTTTTCTTTTCAGACGGAGGGTGCATGTCAATTCCAGGCGGCTAAAGCTGACTTCCCAGCGATGCTTTAGCTCGGATTTTTTTTTTAGGATTAACTTGGTGTTTGTCAATAAGAAGGCAGAGCAGTGATATTGGAGGACATTTTATGAACGTGGTTGCCACACATCCAGAGAGTTGGTCCAAATTTTGGATGATTGAATTGCAGGGGGAGAAATAGCACTACACAATTTCCAGCCAGTACTGCCCTTTCATTCCTAACATGTCAATCACTGAGCTCTGCTCCAGCGCTCTGCTCCAGTCCACACATTCAGTAAGCAGCTGTGCACCATATGTATGTCTTTACGTACATGTTTATCTGTCCATTTAACGCTGCCATAATCTGAAGACGGTGCTCAAAATGTTTGATGTCTGAATATGCCCCTAAATCAAGCGAAGCCCAAACTATGTGTTTACAAAATTCTTTGGGCCTTCCATCACTCTGATTATTTAAAAAGTGAGATAAAATGTTTCAGTGTTGATAACTGCTGGGAGCCCTGATATTGGACGTTGTAAACAGACGGTGTGATGTGTACGGATATGGTGGGTATGTTTATGAAGATGTGGCCAGTTGCACTGGTTGAGAATATGGCTTGTCAGTTTTCCCATTGAGGGAAATGAATAAGTTTTGAGAAGGACGTAAAGGTTGCTTGGATATGTGTCGTTTTCATGAGTTTCTCTTACTTCTTGTGTTGGACGTTCCCGGTGTTTGCGGTATCAATTTTGATTTACTTCAGGAACTGTAATTCCTCTCAAAATTAATTCCAATTTTCAAAAATAAACCAAGAAAAATGTTCTCTGGAGGTTGTGGGCATAGTGGTTTGGGCTCATTAAAATTTGTGATTTTGTTGAACACAACTTACGTATTATCTACGGGTACATGTACAAGTACATGAGCCTCTAAATACCGGTATTTTGAATCAAAGTTTGAAAGTTTCTTGTGAGCAAATTATTGGGTGATTTAAACCTCTCTGTGTTCAGGCCTTTGCAGAGGTGACTTTGAATTGAGTTTCATACTCTAAGGATTGGAGTGGTTTGTTAGAGGGAACGACTGGGTCCTCAAAAATTGTGATTGTGGTTCTCAGGTTGGAATTGATTCAAATCGATTCAGACAGAATTGCCCAACACTGCCTACACTTCGACCGGTGCCTTGTTACATATTCAGTGGTATTAAGTGGTACATGTACTGAATGCAGTGAAGGGGGCCAGGAAGTTACTGTCACGCTATCGAGAGTTTTTCAGTTTTTTTACATTTTTGCAACAAATTTGAGTGCTCCCACCTGTGTCCATTTTAATGTCAAAACCCGCAGGTACCGGTAAATGTAGTGTTTTGTCTTTCCACATTTGACTGAAAGAGGGAAAAACAATCCACTCGGAGCGCAACAAAAGAGGGCCTTTTTTTTGGTACTCACTGCATAAGGACATGTTTATAATGGAGATCAAAGGCGGGTTTGACGCGGAGCACGCTGAGTAGGCATAACGATAACGTCATACGCATAACGAATTTATTCCTTAATGTATGGTCTTTGCGTACACGTCTAACGCGTGCAAGAACCCACTTGGAAAAGTTACAACCATCTGCCTTTCTTTTGCCGCTTGGGGGGTGAACTTCAACTCAGGGTGGATATTGTAAGAACACAAAATATTTTACTGGTCTATTCAATCACCTGCATGCCTGTGGGTTGTAAAAAGCTGCAGGGCTTTGAAGACTTACAGGAATTTCAAACCACAGGGGAAACACTGCTAACATGACCGGCCCCCTTTACTGTGTTTTGTGTAAACTGTCATAAGGGACCAATCAGTGACATGTTAAAATTGTTATTTTTCTCTGCATAGCAGATTGTTATGCTTAGCAGCTCTTCCAAATTGCCACCTGCTAAGGTATCGATGCTGTGATGTTGGTAGTCTATCTGAAATCATTTTTGCAAAGTTACGTTATCATAGCTTCCATCCATTGATTTCTCATAAATTTTGGAACATTTAGTTGTAGACAAATTTGCATGTTCATGTGCAGTCTATTTTCTTCCATTCACGACACTTGTTTTAGTTCAGTTAGGCTCTACTTACAAACTATGCTGGTGAACTACGTATTTCCACTTATCAATTCCTTCCATATTTTAGGTGAGCAGAAATCCTACCTACCGTACAATTCAAGTATGCAAAGTTTCAGGGGATTTACATCATGCCATCATTACTTTTGTTGTCATTTATGCTATTTCATGGACTGTGCATGGTGACCTTAACCCTCAACAAACAATTTGTGGGCTCATGTGATGTCTGCATTGGCCCGGCCCAGCATTGCCTGGTGCATGGCCACGCTAGTGCTGCACGCACCTAGCTTAGGGCTTTTGTGCGGGTGGAGTTTCGTACAGTGTGTGGGAGGTGGCGGCTCCATGATATGGTTCAGATTAGTACCGGTAATTTAGTCTCTCTGGTGTTGTCCTTTGCAGGTTATCGTTGCTTCAAGGCCATCATGTTCCTGATTGGCTTCCTCTTAGCTTCAGTTGTCATTTTCCTGATCTGTCTGGAGGAGAGCACCTTGGTCATCGGGGTGAACGTGGGCATCTCCGTGGGGGTAGGGGTGGTGTGCGGCCTGGCCACCATGCTCTTCAAGGCCTTCGGCCTCTTCGCCACAGGCTTCCACGCCGGGGTGCTCCTGGCCGGCGCTGCTCTGGTGGCGCTGGAACAGGTCTACCACCCAGACGTCATCTGGGTGCCACTGGGCACCGCGTTCGGGGTGGGCGCCATCTGCGGGCTAGCCACGCTCAAATGGCAGCGGCACCTCGTTATCATCGCAACAGCAATTGTAGGGGGCGCTGTGGTGGCCACCTGCGCAGACTATTACCTTGAGCTGTTCAGGATGGTGGAGTACGTCTATGATCGGTTCCGAGTGCGGGAGTCGCATGAGCCGTGCTGGTACAGTTGGCTTATACTGGGCACATGGCCCATCATCATGCTGCTGGGGATCGTCATACAGTATAGAGTAACAGCCAGGGGATACAGTCATAAAGACGGTGAGTATTTGTGTAGCAGATTTGGCATGGAATGAACAGCAGAGGATGCATCAGTTGCAACTGTTCTGAGGCTGAATTCTGAAGGTTTAGTCTACATACATCTACATGTATACCGTGCTTTAGTCAACAACAGATTGCACTGTAGGAACAAACAACTGGTTTTTTTGACAGTGTAATTACACGTGTACACGAACTTGGCATTTTTCCTGACTTTTTTGTTTTGCAGGTAAAAAGAAGGTGAAATCGCATCATGTAGAAATGCACAAACTGAGCAAGCAGCAGTCGAAGGACGGCAACGAGGTCCGACTACAAAAATACCAGAATCTTTACCGGGTGCGGCGGTGCAATGGAGACGTCGTGGCTGTGGTAAGGAGATACTCTTGTAAATACCAGCCGAGCAATAGTTTCAGGGTAATAGTTCTGGGCAATAGTTTTATCAGTTTGCCTCTCTTCTCAGGGGGCACTAGTTGCGGCTGTTCTCTTTTATAAACACTCATGACAAGGAAGCCTTTCTGCAGTGCTGGATACTTGAGGCGTTTCTGAAGAAAGTTCTTTACATATTAAGATGGAAAGCTTGCGGTAAGCACCATGCAATATCTCTTTTTGAGTCTGTGTAGTTCTGATAAGAAAAAAAAAGAGATATTGCATGGTGCTTACCGCAAGCTTTCCATCTTAGTCGTCTGTCACCATGAATAGCTTGAAATCCGGTCTCTTTACATATTGTTGTTACTTGTTTATTTGTAATGAAAATATAGTGGTTAACATTTGGAAACTTTAAGATACTTGTAGTTTGCCTAGATATCTGTCTGAAATGAAAAAAAGGTGCAGGGCCTGGAGAGGTTCCGGTATTGGAGACAAAGGGAGTGCAATGGGAATAATTTTTTTTTTCCAAAATTTTTATCGCATTAGCCCCGCTTTTCCAAATGATTCATTTTTTTGTGTCAGTGTTGGTACCTGTATTTGTGTGTCTTTGTAATGTTGAAAGGCAAATAAATCAAATCAAAAGTCAGGTTTGAAGAAATGGCCATTTATAATCTTCAGAACAGAGTTAAGATTCCAGTTGGAAGCTACGGTAATTTAGTCAAACATACCGCATACTGGTAACATCGTATGGAGGTAGATTTGTAACTCAAAGGCAGTGAGCTGTATAATGAAGACACCACTTGGGAGTAAGAGATACATGCATCACTTTCTGTCTTCACCTTGGGACGGCTGGTTTGTGTGGTTAACACCACACCACGACACCTGCCGGTCTGCCTGAGCATGAGGGAAACCAAGCCCAAAACACAAAGAGAAGAAAAATGTTTGGAATCAAGACTCGGCATTGTGCCTCTGCATGGCAGATTGTACACAGGTGCCCCTCTACTCCTCTCCTTCTCTCTCTCTCCTCCAACCCCGGGGTTGCCAGGAAGCCGTCATCTGGAACGGAAAGCCGTCACGGCTCCCTCCGCTGTGGTCCCCAAAGCCATGTGCAAAAGTCCCGTAGGATCTCTTCCCAGGATACGTGACTCAAGCCCTTAACCCAATCTAAAAAACAAATTAAGGGGAGGCTGGGAACCAAACACGAAACTGACATTTTCATTTGCCAGTTCTTTGCTCTCCCTTCCCCTCCTGCGCTCTTTTTGTTTTCTTTTTTCGACACTGCGGTGTGAATCACCTTTTTTTTTTGGGTACCTGGCCAGATCAGCTCTCGTCCGTGGTTCACTGGTCCCCAATGTGACTTTTTGTTATTTGCGCGATAGGAAGTTTAGCCGGGTCGTGTTACCCGCCGGGCTCCCCCAAAAGGGTGATCCATCATAGAAAAAGTCTGGCACCCTGACCCCAAGAAACCTGGGTCCACGTTGCACTTTTTTTCCCCAACACCATTGCAATTCAGCTCGAGACTTCCAGGAAGGTTTCTTTTACCTGTTCTTGCTCTAAAAAAGGTGTGATTATGTAGTAGAACATGTATGTCTTCTGTGAGAGGTGCCTTTTTCCTGGTGAAAAATTGCGTTTTTAGCTAGCTGGGTGTGATAAAGGTGTGCCTTCATGAAAGTAGTGTTTCCAAAACTATTTGACTGACAAGTTTTATACAAAGGGGTGAGGGTCTTCGCTTTACACTGGGCAGTGCAAGGCACTGGTGGTGTTTCTGGTTTTTGTCCCAGCTTTTCCATTCGTCACCAGGGTGGGGAGCCTTGTGGAGAAGATGGATGTACGGTGGTACGTGTATCTTGCACCTGGCCTTATCAAACTCTTGCCACTCTTCAAACTAATGCGTGGACACTGCCACTGTCTCCTGATTGCTCAGTCACTTTTCTCCATCTGTCATCATGTTGACACCGTCAAAGATACGCTCTCAATCAGTCAAACTTGACAGGCTGTTTGGACTTACTTTGAAGGTGATCCATCACAACGGACTGAAAATGAATGAAGGATTGCAGATAAAAGTATGCTTGTCGTTAATCTCATAATAACCAGGTTGAGGTTCAGAACTTCAGATGCAACACTGCCTGTCGATCTCCCTGTGACCTTCGACAATCTCCCCTATTGCTTCCTCTTCCAAACCATTCTTCGGGCGTGCAACTTTCCTCCTCGTTTTTCGCTGAACACTCTTGTTCATTAAAAATTTAAAAACACTGGACAAGGTCTTGTATAGATTGGAATTTCCTCATTTTCTGTCAACGGCCAAGTTGAATGCCTGATTCTTTGACAGCTCAAAAAGAATAGCCTGGCTTCGTCATCCTGTCCAGAGATTATGTTTCACTTTTTAACCCCTCACTTTTGATCAATCTGGACAGTTCATGGGCATCTGTCCAACCCCACAGCCACTTTTTATCCCATCCATGGTCTGGTTCCCAAGGGTATACATGCAAGATCATTCGGGAGTGAGTCACTGTGTGAGAGACACCAGATTTTGGGAGCAGGGTCCCACAAGGGACATGTTACCCCCTCGACAGAGAACAGTATCCTTGCCAAAATTGTGTTGTGAAGTAATTTTTTGTTGATCACCTGATGAAACTCCAGGCTTGACAAAGAAATTCACACTCAGGTTCTACTGGTACACCTTGTTAGTTTTTTCACTTACATGTGAAACCATGAAAAACTATTAAAACAACACCATGTTTACACGTATTTTGAAATATTCTTGATAAAATAAAAAAAGTTCTTGCTGCACAAGGACAAGATCTCAATCTACTTGGTTCCCCCCCCCCAAAAAAATGGACATCAGAAGATTAGTCGAGATTGAGACTTCTTTCCTAAATCTGTTGTCCTTTCCAACTTCCGGTAGAAGTTTCTTCTGTTCATGTGCAGTCAAACCTCATTAATAAGAGCACTGTTACATGTACATGTAATACAAGATTTTGCTTATAAAAAGGACCATTTTACGGTAGGTACCAACCACTTGTTTCTCATTATTTTCATTCCTGATTATACAAGGTTCCTGTTATAACAAGGAAATTTGCCAAGTCCAAAGGACCTCTTACTCACAAGGTTTGACTGTTCATGTAGCCGCATGTTTGTTAATGTTAACCCTAACGTGCTAAAAATCTGGTTGAATCTAACATCTGGAGTGGCATAACTGGGGTACATTTGTGGGGAGGGGGGGATAGGGACACTCACTTTTTTAGGGGGGGTTCAGCCTTGTGGAAGGGATGCGCCCCTTTGTAGTCATGCCCTTGAACACCTTGAACTTTCACCCTGTTTTGATGAATTGCTGCCTACTCAGTCCAGCCCACATAACTTGACTGTGAAGGCTTGATCATTTCCATCCTACAAAAGACTGTGCCGTCTGATTATCACCGAGTGTTGGAATTTGGGCAGGAATTCAGGTAGTACCCTCCAATCAAGACGAAGGAGTTTAGAGTATGATGGAATGACAACCTCAATCTTCCAGATTGTTGTTTCAGAGAAAGAAAAAAAAACTCTCTACAAAGTTGAGTGTGATATATGGTTGTTCAATATTTCTCATGTTTCCCCTGAGTTCCCAGTGGCATGCCTGGGTATTAGAATACCATTGCACATAGCCTGAACTAACTTGAAATAAAAGTTGTCAAGAAATGTAAAAAATCCTCTTAAAAGTCATGGAACGTGTGAAGATCTGTGGTTTGTCCCCCTCCTCTCCCATATTCCTCTTCCCTTCCTTTAAAAAGAACATTAAGTTTGACACAGCTGTCAGTTCTATATCTGGAGTTCAAAAAAAAAACACCCTGCAACCGTCCCTTGTACTGCCCTGAAGCCCCACCCACAGAAGGGAAGTCTATTAACAAAACATTCTGTACATATTGAGTGGATAGAGAGAGGATCGCAGTGCCACTGTGGCCTACTTTTGCCACTGCTTGTCGGAAATATATTTGGGGTCTCGTCCCCAGACGTGATGAGTCATCTTGCCAGGGCTTGGGGGAACAACAGAGGGATATAAAAAATTGGCAGGTAGCCACAGCCTTGTCCCGAGAGCATGAGGGACTCTAAATATAATGTGAGTGGATCTTGGAAAGGATTCCTTAAAGGACAATATTCCACAGTTTATTTTTTTGGCCAGTATCACTTCGGACATACCCACTTCTTCATCCTAATTTGTCATTTTAATTTGAAATCCTGATTGTCGAGGGCCGACACTGTTTTATGGACTGATTTCCGTTGTGCCCAACCACATTGGAGGGTCTCGGCTCTGATGGCTTGTGACTCATATTGCAAGATTTGTCAAGCAGAAACTCACTTTCTCGTTCTGCGCCTTTGCTGTGTTTTTGTGCTGTGGGGTGGGGAGGAGAAGGGTCAGGTCGCTTGAGAAGAGTTTTGCAATTCTCATTTTGTCTGATGCCGGTAGTTGCTGTGAAAACTTAAGATTTCTTGCTTGCTGGATTTCAAGGTGAAATAAGTCCAGCAAGGCTGTGCCAAGTTTTCTGTCAAGGACAGACTTTTTGAATTCAAGAGTCCTGTTTTGTTGTTTTATTTGTTGGAACCTAGGCATATGTTTAATCATCCATGCAGTTTTGAGCATTTTTACAACTACAGATATTGAAGCCTGCTATTCTGCAATATGCAAGAGAATGAAAATGTGCCAATAGTGAAATACTTCAATTCTCCCAACCCTACTTTACACAGGTGGAAAAAGTGTGGAGTTTGCCTGGTGTGTGCGGGTATGAAGAGAAGACTCCATTTGGAAAGGATTGCCATTTTAAGTGCTGAATATTCAAATTCTCCCACTTTTTTTGAGATCTCAGAATTTGTTGAGAGGAACCTGTTTAATGTACTAGTAATTGTCTTTATTTTGGGCCTGTGTTGACACGGGACAAGGAGATGTCTGGGCATGACAATCTATTTACGCAACTGGCAGGAAGCTATTTTCTCAGAGGGAAGAGCAAGAGACAAGGTTGTGCCTTTTTATTTCCAAGATCCTGGAGATGTCTGTAAACACTTATCAGAGATGAATACAGTAGACTGTCCCGCCGCCTTCAATTTTGACATAATTTTCCATGCGCCCCAGGGGATCAGGGTAAGGTTTATGAACATTACAGCCTATGCCGTTCGACAGGTCACTTACCTCAGTGCAAATACTGAAGTGGTTTGGAGGATGTCACAAAGTCATGGTTGAAAGAGCCTCACCATAGAGATTGAGTAATCTGTAGATTTGTATTAAAGAGAGAGTGACCAACTGGTTCACAGAATGTTAGAGAGTGATAGACTA